AAAGTATTGGTACGTCGTCAAGTGCCATCCAGCGCAAACGGCCTTCAGTAAGCGAACCCATAGCCCGGGGTTGTGGCATGGTGCTTTTCGGGGTTTTCATGGCTGTCATGGCTTCGGCGGCTTTCTCGACTTATACTTCGACCATTGATGTCTTCAAGAGGGTAGCTTGAATCAACCAACCGATCCGTGCTACCTGTAGGGCTGTGTCGCGATTTCGAATCATGTTGATCCCGGTAAGGTTCGTAAGGACCGGTAAAGTTGAACTTGCTCATTTCAGCGAAATCCTTGCGTGGAGGATGCTCCATGAGCAGAGATTCACGGGCGTCAAGAGGGGTCAGATCGTCGAGGTCACGATTCATTTTGTCTAATAACACAACAGTCAGCAACGCAAAGAGTGTCAAACCCGGTGACTAGATCACTTACTAGCTTCCCTCTTCCGTTTAGCATGAGGGTTTTCGCGAATGCAGAGGATGATGGCGTTGGTGGCAATGAGAATGGCCAAGATACCACTCAGTCCCGACTGAATAGCAATGAGGACAATGCCGGTAACAGTTTTGGTCGTTTCCGAAAGTCCCAGCTCGTCGACGAAGATCAACACACACGCGATTGACAAGACACGAACCACTTGGACTGAAATGTTGATCCACTGGCTAGACTTGGCAACGTAAGGACGGTTCCACAGCAGAAGAGTGAGCATGAGAGCCTCCACGATGAGTTGACCAGCGCTTTGGGCAAGCCCATGACCATCCCCAGCAGCGATAACGCAACCCTTGGCAAACATGTATACAATGGCAGGGACGAAAGCCCACCAGTAGTCCTTTTTGTAGTTGTCGTAGAAAAGACTGTACTTGCGCCAGGTTTCGTCGTTGTCGTACAAATGGGACGCATCGCCTTCGGCCTTCTTGTACTTTCGAGCCACGAACATGATCTTAAGACCAAAGTACAATAACACAGCCGTGAAAACTGTGAGCGCCACAGCAGCCAAGAGCTTCGCCGCCCATGAATCCCCACTGCTGAGCTGATAGACACACCAGATCACCCAAACGCCGTACAGCAGCAGAATCAAGTTGGTAATGGTCCGACCCAGGAGACCCCAGTAGTCTTTGCGGAAGTTGGTAAGTTTGTCCGGGAAAGAGCCGTAGAGAGCCCAGACTTCGAGGATGACCTTGAGCAGCAAGATACCAACGGCGATAGCGGCAATTAGGATAGCGAAAATGAGCAGAACAGTCATGAAGGTATTGGCTTGAGGGATGGTGAGCTGTTCGGCATAGGCCTCAATACCGGAGACGAAATGTTCGAAACTACTGCTATCATCGCTGGTGCTGTTAGACGACGAAGTAGTGTTGCTGCTATACGAAGTCGAAACCTCGCGCGCAGCTAGGTTAGCCAAGCCTGTAACCAGATCCAGTCCTCGCTTCGATTTGGAACTAGAATTCGTGCCGTCAGAGTACACGAGCGTGGCATTGATAAGATACTGGTAGCTGTTGTCGGTGAGATTGCCGCCGGTCGACTTTCGGAAGTTATCGATGGACTCCTGCATCTGACCCCAAGGGATCAAGCCCGTGCTAAAGGCAAAGTTCTTAGAAAAGCTGCGGTACACCGTCGGATAGCTGACACTGAGCATTCCATTAGTGGCCATGGTATGGAACCAACTCACGACATCACCGAAGCTGGGACTAGACGAGACAGCACCAGGGTGGCCAACAGCACCCAGAGCTGACAGCCCGCTCACGGCCAATGCCGCACCAGCTACACCAGCAGCAGCATAGGATACACCCGCAATCTGCATAGAATTGCCATTGGTTAATTCCGATTGGATGCATGCCAGCTCGTCATTGTCGGTCTTGGACAGCAATTGAAGCTTCACTTGACCATCCAAGTCTGGGATGGCGAAGGCGATGGAAGGAATTTCACTGGCGATCGATTCAGGTAAGGTCTGGGTGCCAGTCGCGGAGAAGCTACCGGCAGCAACGGGACAGAGTTGCTCCACGTAGTATTTGCTGCTGCACGGGTCGAAAGTTTCGGAGTACAGTTGACTGCCGTAGGCATAGATGGTCAAGATGGCAGTGACATTCTGTTCTACCCCATTGGTGCCGGAAACATCGAAGACGATCTCTCTAGTAGAACGGGTGTAGGTAACGGATAGTTTGTCGACTTGGATAGCCGAGTCTGACATACACGTTGTCAGACCATTTGTGCTGAGGGTATCGGCAGCGAGGGCTCGCGTGGCCAGGAGACCCAGCGCCGTAAGGGTCGATAAAGAAGGAATGATCCGCATATTTTCAATTGATGGATGTTGTTACTCAAGGCTGTGAATGTTCAAGGTGCCAGCATCAAGAAAGTATTCACAGGGGTTATGCAGGTAAGGGAGAGTTCCTTTTCGAAAGATTGGCGACGATTATAAGGGTATATTTGACGCAAGATTGAATCGCCGATCAAGATCAAGCAGCAACTAGGCTCGCCTGATGATACGGAGATTGTTGACAGGATCAACCTGTGTAGAATGAAATCGCTTAGAGAAGGTGAATCAAACTGTTGAAGCTGCAAATAGATGCTCGAAAGAGTGTGCAGAACCGCAATACAAGATATCGAAGCAAGCCACGAGAGGGGATGCCGTTCCAAAGAGGATGAGGACCGCACCCACACCCTCTCACTAACTTGTATTACTCGCTGTCTGTCGCAAACGTTAAGAGAGTGGAGGCAGGAGAGCGCGATTCATGAAGCACGGGGGCAGAGAGGTTTGAGAAAAAAGAGAGTCTTGTGGGCAAACAGATTGTTTGCCAGCACGAGAGAAGAGGATAGGCGCTCAACTCTTGAGACTGAAGAAAAGGGGGGGTGGTGGGTTGAGGAGAGCGCGCGGCTAGGCAGAGAAAGTGAGTGATAGGGTTGTAAGGAGTGGAAACGCGCGAAAGGGACAGATGCTGGCTAACAGATCAAACCGACGGATGAGCGACGAAAAGGGAAGAAAGAAAGAACCATGCAGAACGAATGTTGGATGGAGACAACCAGACTCCGAGGATATTGGGGGTGGAGGAGGGGGGAAGAGAAGAGAGGGAGGGGAAGTGATGTGTGAAAGGAAAGATGAGATGGGATGGGATAGTAGAGTAGCTGCCTGTCTCGTTTCTCTCTTTCTCTCTGTTCTAAAGTTACCTGCGACTTACAGCCCGTACTCTGCGTTACCGCCACTCTAGTAGTACTACTACTACTTCCTACTGTCAGGTACCAGATAGTAGTAGTAATGTTATTGGGTATTATTGTTGGCTAACGACCATTGGCCCGGCAGGTGGTTCGAGACTCTGACCATACACAAACTGGGAGTACTAAGTTGCCCCTGAGTGTCTCGAAACTCGCCCCATGCGAGCTTCTCATTGGGCATGTAATCAGGTCCCCGCCCCAGAAGAGCAGCGGGTTGGTCAGGGACGGGCGGCTGGGGCCAGTCTGGACTTGCCGCTAATGAAGCTAGTCGTCTTATTTCTGGGCTCGATCGTTTTTTTTATTTTTCCCGGCGCCACCGTCCTGGCACAAAACCCAGTCACGATACATGAAGTCAGTCTCGTTGTGAAACCTGAAAATGGAGACTCGAACTATTCATAGCAAAGATACGATGAAAATCTTGTACTAACATAGGCTAGTTGACTGATTGTCTCTCTCTCTCTGTCTGTCTGTCTGCGCTACTTTTTTTATACTTTTTCTTTTCTATGCACTTGGAGTGGCCTGCCTAGTGAAGATTCCAAAGTCAAAAGATCATGGGTCAAGGAAGGGGGGGAAATTGACCTTTTTTAACTAACAAGTAGACTAGTTAGTGGTCTAGTTACCAGCCGATAGAAGCTTGACTTTCAACCTTCCCGTCCGTGTTGATTATTCGAGTTACTATTCTCATCTCCCAGTTTCCCGAAATAAAATTGCAAGGATGGCCCTGGTATAATTACTTCATTCTACTCCAGACGTACCATCTCGCCTACACACCGTCAATTGAGTCTTGGTCGGTAAGCTGCGTAGTGGGGGTCGTGGGAAGTGACTTGGCCCTCTTTGCCCTGCCCTGCCCTACCCTGCCAACATCCGTCAGCTGTGCAGAATCAGTAACTAACCAAGTATTCCCCTTCCTGTCAGCAGTTGATACTTAGTAGGTTCGCAAGGTCGATCATCGTTTAGCTTTCTCTTCATGGAGCCCATTGTCATGGACAGATAACCGTCAAACTTTCAACCTGGGCTCAACCATTTTTTTTTTCTTTTCTTTCTGTCTTTCTCCCACATCACTTCGCTCACACGGGAGAAGTCAAAACATCTAGAATTAGTAGATAATTAGACGCGGTTGGCAAACGTCCTGCCTCGTTGGGGGGGTCAGGGCGAAAATGGCTCCATCATGGGCCAAATCGTGTGGCCCAATCCTCCGCCGAAGCCACGCAGTGGGGCGGGAATTAGGACTCCGGCACTCTTTTGAGTGAGAGTGAGAGTAATTGAATGAGTGATAGTAGTCTCTTGATGGCAGCCTGCGTATTGTTGTGCTTACGGTCCAAATCGTTTTTTCCCTTTTACTGGTCGAATTGATACATAATCCTGTATGTATCTACAGACAAAACGTCGTCAAGTTCAAGTATCACATGTGGTCTTATTCCATGGTCTTGGAGCAGGTCCCCGACTCCACATTCCACACTCTGCGTTTTGTTGGCTCGATCCCATACTTCAGCTTTCCCATTCTTCAAAGCTCAAGGCCCTTCCAGACCGGGTCCATGGTCGGTCTCGACGTCTGAGGGATGAGTTTCCTCCCCCAGCGGATCCATTGCCTGGTTCCTGGACCATGGTTCTAGAAAACAATCCACGACATCAAGATGCCTCTGATATGAAATACGTATACTCTTTCTTACATTACTATCCCACAAGTTTCACTTCAACAATCAAGTACACACTTGAATCCACAGGTTCATGGTTGATATCATCTGCAAGTGCGCTTGTGTAGTAATCCTTCTCACTCAAAATAGTTAGGACCCCATCTGATTACTTCATAAAATATACCGGAATGGCCTGTCAGCTTCATTCTTCCCCTCGGATTGGTTCCCACTCAAATCGCCCCCATTCTGCTCAGATTCCCTATCCAGATGCCGATTCGCCCGCCATAGCAGATACATCTGCCAGCATCCCATAACCACTACAATCAGGCATGCGCCGCACGAGATCCACATCCCCTTGCGGTAGTATGGTTTGTCGCTGTCAGGGAAGACATTCGTCCCTAAAATCGGACCGCATTGGCCGCCAGTAGCCAAGATAGCAAAGGCTCCAGCGCGCTTGGAGTCCGTGGCGTGTGTGTTACCAACCCATGTGAGAATGAGAGCTACGGACACAAAGACCTGGGTCGCCAGGAACAGGCCAAAGTACCTGACTGCCACCGTGGTCTGCGTAGCTAGCAGAATGTATCCGATGGCAGCTATGAGTGCGCCACCCACGATGAAGGGCCCGCGCAAGTTGACGCGATCCGACAGAAATGCACTGATGACAATGGCTATCCAGCAAAGGACATATGGAGGAGCGCTGAGACCGTTTGATTGGATGGTCGTGAAAGCCCCCATCTCAGAGATGATGGTCGGCACGAATAATGGAAGTGAGGCGAAGCAGACATTGCATCCAAAGTACATTAGTGCTGGGGGGTAGCCTATTTGGATGCATTAGAAGAGGGGGCACAGGAGGACTGGTGCCTTCGGGTACTTACTCGTATAATCAAGCAAGGATCCCAGCACTTGCTTCAATTGCAGACCCTGGGTTTCTCGATCCCCAGGTTGTCGTAAGGAGAGTGCAACCGCGATTTCTTGCTCCCGTTCATCCAGAAATCTTGCTGTCTTGGGTGAATCGGGCAGACAAAACCAAGCAACTATGGCCAGAAGGCATGACGGCACACCTTCCACGATGAATAGGATCCTCCATGGTCCGATTGACCCTTTGGCTTGGGAAATTCCATACGCCAGAGCACTCCCATATGCGTTCGCTAGAGCGGCTCCTGACAAGAATATGCCAGTCCGGAGGCCGAGTTTCTCACGCGGATAAAAGTAGGACAGATACAAGGGCACCCCTGGCCCATACATCGCCTCGATTATTCCCAGAAAGACTCGGCAGACCATCAGGCCGGCCCAGTTTGTACATGCTGACTGAATAGTCGAGACAAACCCCCATAGGAACACAGTGACACCTACCCACCGGTGTGGTGGGAACGCTTTCCAACCGATTGTCGTCCATTGCGACAGAATGTCTGATTGCGCTTGTTAGGAGATGCTCTAACCAAGATCAAGCAGATTTCTCATGTCGCTGCAAGAAGCAATTGATGGTCTAGGTAAGGTTTATAACTCACAGGCTATATAGAAAGCAGTAGCAAGCCAATCATACCGCCTCCCACTCAAGTCTATGTCATCTTCCATGCCTGCGATCTTCGCATTTCCCAGATTCGAGCGGTCAAGGACCGATAGACTATAAAGGACGAAGACCAGGGGCATCAGATTCCAGTCGAGTTTGCGGTAGACGCGGTTCTCATCCTCTATGCTGAAAGTCGGGCCAGCATTTCCAGGAGCATTGCCCTTCACATACTCCAATTCTGATACATCTGCCTTTACGTCAGGATTCTCGACTGCATCCCCTGTGCGGTTGCTCATGGTTGCTAGATTGTTGGCTGTCTAGGTAGTAGATACAGATCGCTGTCTCCTCAACCGTGCTCTCCGTTCCAGGCTTCCATCGCCTTTATGAGCAAAACAATTCCGAGGCTCTTAACATCGTTCCCCGCACATTTGTACAAAGTCAATGGAAAACGGCTATATGATCGCACATTGTTATCTCCTACAAGACGGGAACCGTCTTTCCCCGCATTTTCTCCGCGGAGGATCATTCTCCGCTATCCCCAGATGCGGCTTTGATGGCCTATAGGAACTGTCCAATCTGCCGAATGTCATCCTTTGTTTCCAAGTTCCAGCACCAATCGCTGATTATCTTGGCCTGTTCTGGGCCAAGAACTGAACTACACTGGTCAATGAACTTCTCCGTGAGCTGGCTGTCTGTCATGGGGGCGTCGATACTGCCAACTGCATGGTGTACATGCTTCTCCACCTGGACCCCCCGGGCTTCAAACTCAACGAGAATCCGGCATTCGTCCGCTCGGATATTCTCTGCCGCCGTTGCCACAAACTTGTCTCGTACCTCGATCGTTTCCGAATTTGTGACAACGGCATCTTCATACTCTGCTGGAGTTGCCTTTCCGTGAATCAAGCCAATCGCACCGCCGTGATAAACGCTGAACTTGGCTTCCAGCCCATCTTTAGGTTTTGTTTTTCCTGTTAGCTCCAAAACCAGTGGGTGGACTGTGACATGAACACGCTTGATATCTTGTAGTCTGAGGCCCCGCCGTTGCAGCTCACCATGTAGCCAGACACAGCCATCAATGACCGGGTGTATGACAATACCACACGGGAACGGCTTAAAGGCGTTCTTTGCAAGCTCCCATTGTCCATTGGATTCCAGGCTGTCAATTTGCTGAGTTAGCTTGTCGTCGTTACTCACAACCTTCACCCAGCCCCGCTTGGCCTCCAGAGCCTGCAAAGAACTGGTGTATCCATCTGCAGCAAGAATAGCCGCTAAAAGACCATTTTGGGCTGCGCGCCCAGGGTGAAAGGACTTGGTGTGCGAGCCAAACATCTCACGAAGACCAGTCACCTGGGTAGCGGCGATACCGATGGCATGAGCCGTCTTCTCTGGGCTCAAGTCGAGGAGACGAGACACCGCCACTGCTGCCCCAATAGAACCAGTAGTACTAGTGATGTGCCTAAAGAATGGTGTCAGTCCATCAAACAGGGCTGTTTTGGGTGAGGGGTCCGTGGGGGCGAGAAGCCTAGTAGACATACCAGCCGACATCATAGTGGCTCGGCCAGACAGCCAGACCAGCCTTACATTCTAATTCTATCCCTGCGGCGAGAGCCGTGAGGAATTCTTGTCCAGATACTGGCCGGTCTAGTGATTGCGCAAAGCTTAGAAGAGCTGCCGCAACAGGCCCGGTAGGGTGAATGATAGTCTCCAAGTGCGTGTCATCATAGTCGTGGACATGCGATGCAATTCCATTGATCAACGCAGCATGCTGCGCATCAGCTTGAAGCCCATTAGTACCTAACAATGTTGAGGTGGGAGACCCGAAGAAGCGGGACAAAGAGTTCCGGGCAATGGAAGCAGCGGGGTGATTGCTGCCCCCGACAGTGCAGCCGACCCAGTTGTAGAAGCTCCGGATGGCTGCTTGGAGGGCGTCCGGAGGTAGCGAAGAATACGATAGAGATGCTGCCCACTGGGCAGCTTTCTGTGTAGCCATTGTTTGCTTGTAGGATTGCAGATTTGGGAAAATGAATCTACAGAGAAAATAAAATATTGGCAAAGGAAAAATGGCGAGGGAGAAAAAGAGGGAGGTGGATGAGGGGAGATATTTTCCAGTTCTGGTATTCTCCACCGATGCCGCGTTCCCTCTCGGTGGAGTTGAATAAGTATATACATCTATCTATACTGGTACATAGCCAAACTGATGCCCCATGAGATACTACTACTAGTAGTACATATATTACTGGATGTATGTCATGGCCCCTTCCCTGAATCTACTTGCATTCCAAATAGACGTTGAATCTTGAGCTTGATTCATATTAGTGAGAAGTAAAGATAAGATAAAATACCAATTGGCCCCGCCTCAAGTCTTTTAGCTTCCCAAATATATTTCCTGGGAATTCTATATATACTAACTCCCTCAACGTTCAATGTCTCATTTACGGGTAGACTTCTCTTGCATCTCCCGCATTGCTGCTCTGGCACTTCTACTGCCTCCCAATTTGGGCCCGCGCGGAGCCTCAGGCTTGGTTGTCTTCGTATTCCTTGCTCGCGCAACACGACGCCGGGATTGAATGGCATCGAGAAAGTCCCTTCTGAACTGCTCTGCCACCCTATCATCGGCCGCTTGCCCATCCTCACCCACTGCTTCGCCACCTTCCTCTTCTGGCCCCTCGTAGACATCCACTGAATATCGACATATACGTCAGCGCAAAGGACTTGGAGAAGGAAGAAAAACCTCCCAGATGAATCTGGTCCCAGTGCAATATCATGAACCGTAAGGAAGACTCACATTTGCTTTCCCGTAATACTTCCTCCACCAGTCGATCTCGTTCGATGTCTTCACTCGTCCGTCGTTTCCGATTGCGCCACGTCTTCTGGTCCCCATTTGCCGGGGCCATCTTGGGCCCGGAGCTCTGCTCGGTGGGAGGGCTTTGATCACCATCCCCGGCGAGTCTCTTCGTCGCTGCCTCTGTACGGGCAATATTCTGCAACGTAGTCTCGTGACCAAGATCAATTTCGTGCAGTTTCCCAAGAGACGCCGGTTCGCGTTGGGGAAGGTCAGCAGAAGACAGAGCAGCCGCTTTCGGTTCAGTCGCCGAAGGTGTATCATGCATCGCAACTTCGGTCGAATTATCGCGCCGGTATCGCTTAGCCATTTCAGACTCTATAAAATCCATCCTTATCTTGTTAGTCGCCATTGCAGCTGGAATGCATGCGAAGCACAGAAACAGAGACGGGGGAGCCGTACATATGCTTGTCAACATCAACCGTTTGGCCAGTATGGGCCGTGAATCGATCGCACATTGCTCGCAATCTTTCATTTTCTTGATCCTCCTCCGCCACGGTTGAAACGGCCGTTTGGCTATTCTTACCGGCCGGTGGCCGCGAGGTGGCGGAGAATTCGATGCCACCCTTTCGAGCTCGCTGAAGCCGTCGCGAACGAAGAATCTCTGCTGTGGGGACAGAGCTTGGGGCATCCTGCCAGGACGGAGGTGTAGATGATTCTGAAACACGAGCAACATCTTCTGTCGCAGAAGGCGATTCCTCGTCGTTGTCCTCTGGCCGGCGTCGCTGGAACTTCCGCCTCTTGCCCGGCCGGAAGAGGGAGGCTGGGTCAATTTCTGGCTCCATGAAGTAAGTCCCTGAATTCCCCGGGACAGATAAAGATCCCACTTGGCACTGAGAGATAATTTATACGGAGAGAATGGTCAGAAGGAATTATTGTGCAGTGAAACAAGGAGATAAGACCGAGGCGATGGCGGTAGATGGTGAGCAATCGGTAGTAGTACGTAGTAGATAATAGAGTCCGGCGCGCTCTTCCCGCCGCGCCGCGATTATTCATTCAATCATCGGCCATCTCAAGTTAACTAGTAGGTACCCGTGCCTCCTCCACTATCAATCAATCATCTGCTCTAATCGCCTCTTTCTCTACCTCTACCTCTGCCAACTGCCCCGCTGCAACCGTTGGCTACAAGATCCCCACCGCTTGTCGTCAATTTCGATTACTCTTTCCCTCCCACATCGGCGTCGTTGGTTGAATTCGGGCAGTGAACCATCCTAAAACCTTTCGCCTGGCTCGTCTACGCCGACCATGAATCCCTCCATCCCACCTTCCACGGCTGAATATGGCGGAGGTATGTCAATTCCTCTGTTGCGCGTAGCTGAGGACACATTTATTCCTTGCGCGATACTTTCTTGTTAGCACTTCTGACCCTTCAATGTCTAGATGAGGTGTCGGCGATTGTGCTCGACCCCGGCTTCTCGACGACACGAGCTGGATTTGCAGGGGAGGACACACCCAAATCCCTGATTCCGACATACTACGGGAAATATTCTTCAGATGGCCAGTCGAAGTTGGTCTTCGGTGATGATATCTTTGTTACGCCCCGGCCCGGTCTGTCGATTCACAACCCAATGGGTCGCGATGGAATCGTGGAGGACTGGGACATGGCAGAGAAAGTATGGGAATATGCCTTCACTTCGCGCCTGACGGGCCCAAAGCCTGGAAATCCCCTACAGAACGGATTGAACGACGTGCCGGAGGGCGAATTATCTACAGAAATGGAAGGGGTGGAAACCGAGGAGAAGCTGCTTGCTGATAGCCCGCTGCTGATGTCGGAGCCCGGCTGGAATCCCACGAAGTCGCGCGAGAAGACTATCGAGCTTGCTATGGAGAAGTGGGGAACCCCGGCCTTCTATCTAGCCAGGAACGGTGTTCTTTCAGCGTAAGTACCGACCTGTCAGTTCGATGGCCTGAGTCTTATGGAGATTTCGCTAACATGCTTCCTCGCCTAAAGCTTTGCGGCCGGCAAGGCTTCCGCCCTTGTGATTGACATTGGCGCTTCTAACATCTCTGTAACCCCGGTCCACGACGGTATGATACTGAAGCGGGGAGTGCAGCACTCCCCTCTCGGTGGTGATTATATCTCATCTCAGATCCGCGCTCTCTTCAAGTCGAACGCCCCGCAGCCGATAACGATCACTCCTCATTATCTGATCTCGTCCAAGACAGCAGTTGATGCCGGCCAACCCCCACAAGTTAAATACAAGACTTTCGCCCCCGACAGAGCTCCTGACGCATCTTACAGAACACTTCTGGAAGAGCGAACCCTGTCGGAGTTCAAGGAATGTGTTGTCCAGGTCTGGCCCGGCCCCAACAAGCTCTCCGCCACAGGACCCAACGGCGTCTCGAACGAGGAACTGGCCAAGAGCAGCCCTGGCCGGCCCTTCGAGTTCCCCGACGGCTACAACCAGGTCTTCGGAGTCGATCGCTACAAGGTCGTCGAATCCCTATTCGACGCCAAAGCTGCAATCCCGGACCCCGAATCGGCATTCCCCGCACCGACGCCGGCACAAACTGTGCCCGAGCTCATCAAGAATGCGCTGAACGGCGTCGACGTCGACATCCGCCCGCACTTGTTGGCTAACGTTGTTGTCACGGGTGCCTCCAGCTTACTCTATGGTTTCACAGACCGTTTGAACCAGGAGCTCATGCAGATGTTCCCAGGTCCACGCGTTCGTATATCGGCCCCAGGAAACACCGCGGAGCGGAAGTTTGGCTCTTGGATCGGTGGAAGTATCCTCGCCAGTTTGGGTACCTTCCATCAGATGTGGATCTCCAAGAAGGAGTTTGACGAACATGGTCCGAATATTGTCGAGAAACGCTGCAAGTAGAAGATTGCCTTTGTGATATCTTACTCGTCTTTTATACGTCCTTCAATCTTCCCCTCCGCCTTCTCTCTAAAATTTATGTTCCTTTTTCTACCTTCTGTTGTTTACTGCCCGTAATCATTTTCTGAACACCTTCGTGTGCTATTCATGACTACAGCCCAGGAGAATCGGTGCATCCCTTAATACGATTTAATTCCGGTGTGAATATCGAGACATAAATGTCTCTTCTTTATATTGTTTATTAGTTCCAGCTAGGTGTACCGCGCCGTGCATCTTACGCGCGTAAGCCAGTAGGCGAGCTCCTATGGCCGCAAAGCTGCTGAGGTACTCAAGGTTCCGTCTGACATGGGAGCGCCGCGACCTAACTACAAGGTGAACACGAAAATACGTAGGCGCATATACAACAGAGGATAGATAGATACTTGCTTCACCCTATCTTGTTGTCGTTGAATTGGTTGCACTGCCTTTGCGTTCTGGTCGCGTGGCTCATAGGGCCGAAATTAGAATTTGTCGTACAGAGTAGCATCCGTATTGGGGGTATTACAAGATATTCCCGGGCCCGAAAGGCACAAGGACTTGCTGCTTGCCTTGTTCAATATCGCAAACGGATCAGTTGTTAAAGCAACAATGTGTGGCGAACTTCGGCCCCAGTGAGACTGAACTTGTGACTTTCACATGGCATGCCCGGCAGGCTTGAAGCCGCCTGAAAATATCCAGGCTTTATCAGGTGAAGACCGTGGCAGATTCAGAGGGATGCCCGAGTGCGTATCCAGGATAAAGCGAATATGGATGAAATTCTTCCGTATTCACCGGCGCGGCTGGTATGGAAGGAAGAGCTGTTATGACCGATTGTGTATCTTCAAGCTCCGCATCAAGGTCTTGGTTTTCTAGTTCGTTATCATCCTGCGCAAGGCTAAACTGGACCGAAAGGACATGGATCCTGGGCCCGACATCCCTCTTTGGCTTTAAGGAATAAGTATTCATCGCGCCAGCATCCTCCTGGAGCCATGCCATATCATTCTTCAGATCAGATCCGACCATGTCCGATTTTATTTGTAGACAGCCATCGTCATTGATGGACGACTCTGCACAGAACTCGCTCCAAGGGCCCGCCTTTTTGGCCTGGGAGGAATCCTCGGTATTATTTTTCTCTTTCTGCGTTTCATGTTCCCAAGCATCAACCACTTTGTCGGATTTGAAATACTGCAGTAACTGGTTTTTCATCGTTTCTCGTCTCGCTGAAGGTTGAGCAGCAACCGGACGTTCCGTTTGGGCTGGCACCATTGAAGTATGAGCCTTCTGACTTGGTTCCCTTTTGCTTTTGTGCAGGGACTTCAGTGGTTCCAGATATATACTTCGAGCTTTCGATGCCCTGGAAGGTGCAGTGGAAGGGCGCACTGGTAGGGGTTCAGGATGGTCGCTTGCAAGTTCCCTTGTTCTGAGCTTGGATCTGGAGAGACGGCGAAGCTTAAGCACAAAGCCTTCCGAGTCGAAGCCGTCAGTAGTACCGTTGACAGACTTGGCTCGGTCTGGTAGCTTCGTGTGCGCATTACGCTCGTCATTCTCCCTTGTCGCCCTAAGATTCGGAACACTCTTCTGCGTGAGCCTATTACGGTCAGTCGACCGAGAGAGGGTCGCCGTCGCCGGACGGTCCGGAGCACGGGGAAGAGGTTTGTTCGGAGTCGAGGCCGGTGCGCTAACGAATGAGCCTCTTTCCATGAATCGTTGCCGCAGTGATTTCTTTCGGGTCAATCCATTGGTACTTCGCATGTAGGACACCTGTCGAAATATCAGCTCGGGCACGCAGTTATGGGTTTGACAGTACCCTGGTAACTTACAACAGCTTTTCGACTTGCTACTCCCACACGTCGCTGCAGTTCTGTCGTGGCTAGGCCAAGCTGAAGAAGGGCCGATTGTAGAGCGACACCTTTCCGACGGAGATTCGAAAGTGCTATGTTCCAGCCCTCCGCGTTTGCGAGCATAGCTTGGTAGACAGCCAGTAGTCTAACAGGCAATGGACTATGCTTTTCGGCTGACTGTTGAAGGTATGTCCACAGCGCACCCACCGCCTCCCGGCCTTTTTGGATGTCTTTCAGGGAATCTTCGATCGCAGTTGCGAATCGATCAATGGCGTGTTCGATCCTGTCATTATATTCGATCATAGAGCCACGGAAACTGCGTTCCTCCAGCATCTCATCGAAAATCATTAGATTCTCGAGAGGTAGGCTAAGATACTTACTCCGTGTGCGCACGTCAATCTGGATGATTAGAAAATCTTCCGAGGTCCTCTTAAGAAATCCATCCATCTCGTCTACATGAACCTGAAGGATTTTCAAGACCTCCACGTCGGACTTGGCGAGTTTTCCGACTAGGAGGTGGACCCCAAAGGACATCTGGGCGATGAGTTTCCATAGGGGGTGATATCTAGAGGCAGTCAGTTTGCAATGTTGCTGAGCGAGTCCAAGGGACCGGAGCTCGACCGAGTGCTTGCCTTTCATCGGCTCTCTGGCGCCATTTCCTGCCACAAAGCCGTTCATACTTGGGGCTTTCGAGTAGGATTTTGCGCCGAGATTGAGCATCAATATTGGCTATCCATCTACCGTTCCCAATGCCAATGGCTTCCTGTATCGATTCCTCGAAGGGTCCCTGCAGCTGAGAGATTGGGTGCCTTGAGAACTGGCCTGGTCGCCGTTCCTTGGTTTGTTTGATCCCCTCGCTTGGTCGGGCATTGGCAGAAACTGCCAACCGTCCTTCCCTTTCCGCTGGAGACGCCATAAATAGGTGTAAAAACTGGAGTTCAGTATCCGTGACCTTGTGTTCTAGTTGCACACACACACACACTCTCTCTCTCTCTCCGTCTCCCGTAATTCAAATGCAAATCCGTAAATGATGGGCTATAGTAATATTGCTCGCTCTGCGCAACAACAGCATTATACAGGTAACTACCTCCTCGCGATCAAGCTGCACACGGCCGAACCCTCAGCGGGATGTCTAGGCGTAATGAAGGGGTTGCTCATAGTAGCATCCTTGCAGTAAATCTTTTTATCAGGTCGAGCAAAGAGCGCATATGAGCAACGACAATAATATTTAATGGCTGTGATGAAGACATGTAACGGAGTCCGCAGGCCTCCGTGTACACGTTGCTGTATATAAATGGAGACACGCACACGCACACGCACACGCACACGTATACACACGGCCGTGCAGACACAAAGTGGAAGGCGGGTGGGGTGAGGGCGAGGGTGATTAATTGCTTGATCGTTGGGTAATTAAAGAAAGAAAGAAAGAAAGAAAACGAGCAAGCTTCAGCTGTTGATTAGATTGCACATGGGAGACGTGACATGTGTCAAAAGAGTGGTGGGACCGCCGCAGGAACTAAATTGATAGCAATATAGGCGAGGCGAGGCGAGGGAGGAAAATGTTCGAACAATCAGTGGGAATTTGCGCCCAATCGACCCCGCCGATGTTAGTTAGGGCTGAGGTTGGTTTATCTCCAGTCTGGGGACCCGGACAGCTAGCTAGCTTATACAAGGCACAGACGGAGTAGGCTGTAGAAGAAAGAGGTGGCAAGTGGTTATCACCCAGTTTATAGAAGAATGAAACGTAGAACAGACACTAGACGGGTTGGAAAGGGGGTGGAGGGGAGTTGGTTGAAAGTGGAGGTCAACAATTTAAAATTACAAGCAGCCGACAGGCAGCCCTCATGGCCTTCCGGGCCTTACGAGTCACGAAAAAAAAAGAGCCAGGATTCATGGAAACGGGGCTGAGGCTAGTTTGTAATTAGCACAAGCATAATTCCATTGACAATGCGGATGGTGGACACCAATGGCGGTCCTCCAGCGGCTGGCGTTTAATGAGAATCGTCGGAAGATGACGATCTGATGTCGGGCGACTCCACTTGGCCGCAACACGAACCGGTCAAGACCGGTCGACGTCTAGACTCCCTCGGCCTCTCCTAACGAACCATCTAACTAGTCTGCCCCCCTCGTCATGCCACGCCTCTGCGTACTCTGCCTGCCTTGCCGCTACCTTGATCATTGGCCCTGATCTTAGCGAAAGCATGAACTGATAAGCTTGTTGGGCTCTCTCACCTCTGTCTGGACCGGCTACTTCGCTATATTCAGCGACGAGTTACTCAAGTGCTACATGAAGTAAGCTTGGCCGAGTGATGAGCCCGTCAGCCTTGGTAGCGAATAAAGATCGGCGCAAATTCGAGCCAATCCTTGTCGTCGGTCTTGCGAACCTGCGCGCAGACCCTGATGCCGGCCCCCGAAGATGCTGTAGCCAGGACTACGCTCGCCCTAAGCCGAGCCTGGAATTCCTGACGGGGTATCCTACTAGGTCCCGGGAGGTGGCTCTGCCATGAACAAGGGGTCCCAGAAATTGGTGGGCAGAGAGAGATCGAGGAAATCTCCAAACAACGTGTCGATGTCCGTAAAGCTGTCATGTTCAGGGTCTGGGGCACTGATATCTTGCGAGTAAATTGGCCGGGGCGGAAGTTCCTGCCCTAGCGCAGTCGAGGGCGCCCCACTGCGTACATTACTCAGAGTGCCCTGGGCGGGATCGAAAGACGAATCCGGAGGCGGGGAGAGAAACGCCCTCGGATTCTGGGTTGTGGGCGTGGCGGGACTGGCAGCCCGGCCATGTTGGTGATGTCCAAGATCGGCCTCGTCAATTTGGTGCAACGCTTTCCGGCCCAGTCGTGCCGTTGCTTCTGCAGAATACCAGAGCCCGCCCAGTTCTTCGAGCAGAGTACAGCAAGCTTCCAGGCTGGTTCGGGCTCGATCAAGATGCGTGATGAGCTTACTTGACCGAAATTGTTGATATGACACACCCATAGAGAGTGCTAATGCGTATGGAACAATCGGCAAAGGCGGTAACTCTTGGGAGCATTCGATAGCAGCAATGGAGTGGATTCGGATGGCAGCAAGGCCTTGGCGGACATACGAAGGCCTGGACTCATCCGACCGGTGGGTAACCTTGTATCTGCATGACAGTATGGC